AACCCTAAACCCTAAACCTGGACTCCGGCCGACTCCTGTGCACGCCTGCGCTGACTCAATGGCCCGTGTGGAAGTGGGAGCTCTGCGTGGACACTGTCCAAACTTCTTCGCTAGCGAATGTCGTTTTCGAGCACTTTGGATTTGACGACGGGTATGGATACCTCTGCAGGTATCGCTGTCGTGCCTGTTCGGTAGTTGCAGGAGCTGGAGTTCCTCCCCATGGTGATCGATGTCGCCTTCTTGATGTCGCTGTTTCCTGCGGACAGTCGGCGTGCGCCGAGTTCCTCGCATCCAAGGAATGTTCTGCTTCGCAGCGGCTGCGAGAAGTGTGCCTGCCGGACACGCGATGCAATGTGTGTGGTGAAGTTGCACTGGCTGCGGTGGCTAAGGCGCCACTGGAGGAGCGCCGCGCAACTGCCGGCACGGCTCTTCGTGCTGCTCTGTCCCGCAGCAGAAAGCTCGCGGCTCCGATGGGGTTGGGCATCTACCAAGCGTTGCTGGGATGGGGCCGCGGCAAGAAAGTACCGCCACCTCTCGTGAACCATATCCTTAACTTCGCTGCAGAGAGGCCCATCATTGCTCAAGTGCTGGAGGGGCTTCTTTGTCATAGTTGGGTAACATTTTACATTCTTAAGGGTACTTAAACCCAATAAGGAATATAAATTTACATTTTTAATACTACCCCAACCATGAACTAGGCTTGAGGACGAGTTATTGCAGGCAGCGGATTCAGCAGGCCCGGGTCAGCAACCAGAGATCAGCCCCACGCAAGCACGGCCAGAGCCCGTGGCCGAAGCTGCCTTCGGAAGGCCCAGACCCGAAGTCCACCGACTTAATGACAGCAGTTCGCGATTCCAGGGCCCAGGCACAGGAAGTGCCTCTGAGCTCCGATGGCGTGATGGTCTTCCGGCTCACGCGGAAGGCCAACGCGCCTCACGTCAACGAGCTGCTCTTCGACCCTGACGGGCCCTTGGCCGAGCTGCACCGGCGTGTGTTGGAGGCAGGCTGCGAGGTGGCACCAAACTGGTCGCCCGTGAAGGCTTTGTTCGTGCCGTGCACTGACACGCAGATGCAAGAGCTCATGGCACCTGCCGAAGAGGGCTCCTTTTCTGCATCAGCTGCGCCCCCAGAATGCGATTACTTGGAGGTTATAAGTAGGGTAACTATAATTATATACCATATTAGGGGACTTATAACCCCACTTATAACTACCCATGAACCTCCAAGTAGGTGATTCGTAGACATTCGTAGACCCCTCCTGTCCCTGCGCTTTTCTCTTTCGTTGAGCAGGCGGTGCTCACCCTCCGGAGCTCGGCAAGGAGCACATCCTGGCCCTTCGCAGCGATTTTCCGGCGCTGGATCGTGCCATTCGCGGCCTCAGCAAGAAGCACCGTCCCAGACTCCAGCCCGCACTTCGCGAAGAGCCGCAGAGCGACTCGGAGGACGAGCCCTTCATTGTGGTAGAAGGCGGGCTGCGCACGGACTCGAGCCTCGGCTTCCCGTCCTACGAGCCCTGATGTGGATGGCATCATGGGCGCCGATTCATGTCTCTTGGGCTACAGATTCCGATGCTTTCTGTTTAGGAACCTAGAAACTGCAGCACCTGAGGTAATCATGTTACAGGGTTTGAGTCGGCACCGCATACCGGTAGGTCCGATATACTGAGGGTTTAGGGTTTAGGTTTAGGGCTTATATCATTGATATGTTGATCGCGTTGCATCTGGGGTACCAGTAAAATCGAATCATAGTGCATGTGCCGTCCCATCGGAATCGGACGACGCACCCTGTCTCTGCTTGCTTTACTGCCAGGGTCTTGTTAGCCTTGGAGTCTGACAAGCGATGGCAGGGCTGCATTTATGTAGATTTGCATGCCGCTTGCGATTTTGTATCTGTACAGCCCGATGTTTGGTTTCAGCAACTCTTGGCACGCTTGCTACGGGGAGCCCTGCTCAGCAAGGTCTCGTCCGCCCAGGCACATTGAGTTGCTGATGCCTACGTTCCCTTCATATCATCTGCCTAAGCCTCTGTACACCTGGGACCCAGCGCCAGGGTCCTGTTAGCCTTGGCACAACGGTCATCGGAACTACGGAGCCCGCCGAGCTGCAGATGTCAAAACGGTCATGCGAGTGTGGGACTCCTCCGTGCTGCCTGTACTTACACAACTCAACTGATTTCCGTGAAAAGCTCTGACTTAAGTCATTCGAAGCCATAGCCCTTACTGCCCTAGTAGCTGTGAAAGCAACAAGCGTTGAGAGTGGTCTGGTTGGCACGTCGTTGCTCGGATACGTCAAACTATGAGTGTTCGCAGAACGGCCCGCCCGGCGCGCCGCACGCACTGTCGATGACAAGCAAAAAGGGAGCAGTCTTTGAAGACTGTGATTCCAAAGGTTGCGACCTTCTGTCCTCGACTAGCCAACATACACAGGCCTGAAGGCAGTATACCAGTACACGAATGCATCGCACTTACAAATGCCACTTCTGGTGTCTGGCTCAGGGTTGGCTTGATCTTATGGTTAACGAGCACATGCTCCCCCTGGTCTTGAAGCCCGGTATTTCGACTACCCCGCACCCTGAGCCTCAAGTAATAGATCCTACCTTGAACCCGAGCTCCGATTAGGAACGCTGTAACCCCAGCAAGACTTTTCGTCATCTGCGAGTGGATTTGCAGTGGAGTCCGCCGCAGCCCGCAATGGAGTTGAACCTTGGCCGGAAGGATGGCGATTTGAGCACAGGGTCGGCCTGGACCTGTCATATTCGGGTTCAGGGTTGGGGGTTCAGGATTTAGGGTTGAGGGTTTAGAGTTTAGGGTTTCGGGTTGAGGGAGGATTTCAGGTAATGTAGCTGTGGCAGAACCTGCTCCGAGTGCTTGAATGTAGGTGGGATGGGTTTCGCACGGTACGTGATGCAAAACTCCTTGTTACGCTTATTCGATCCGTGCAGCGAATCCCCGCAAGTATCTCGAGAGTGAAATGGGTGAGCGGCCCAGCAATGTTTCCGGCTCCCATGCAAAGCTTCTGTCCAGGGTCCAGTATCGTTGTTACTCGATTGATCTAGCATTTGTATTTGTGTCCGGCGTTGCGATGGTCACAATAGTGTTCGATCTCATTCTACATGGTAAACCACTAGACTAGAGGACTATTCCAGCAAACCATACTCTCAACTCTAAGTCCTGCAGTGCGAAACAGGCATCAACAAGAAACCTGAATACTATGAATGCTAAACAAAACCTCAAACCCCAAACCCAGCATGCAGAACCTTCTATTGCATGATGAGGAAAGTCACCTCCAAGAAGGGCACCGGCTTCTACATCCGTGCGGCAGCGACCTTTCTGAGGGGCACGGAAGAGAAGCCTCCAGTGCCCTCCATCGTTCTCAGCGGTGCCTTGGCCCCGGGCCCTGCTTTCCTGATTACCACGGTTTTGGGTTTCTTGCGGTTTAGGGTTTAGGGTTTCTGAGGGTTTAGGGTTTAGGGTTTAGGGTTCAGGGTCCAGGGTTCAGGGTTTAGGGTTTAGGGTTTAGGATATATACTGATACCATACCATGGATTTGGGTAGGGGTTTGGTGTCAATTGCGCTGCCGCCATCACTAACAGAATGCGCAGATACCACGCTTTTTACGCACGCATGTGGCGGCGCTCGAGAGTCAGTTGAAGGACGCGAACAAAGATCATCTGAGGGAATTTTCTTGGTGAGGTCAGCAGGGTCCGAAGCTTCGTCGATCATCAGCCCTAAACCCTAAACCCTAAACCCAGGCTGACAAAAGCCTAACCCCTGCAGGCACCAAGCCCCAAATCCCAAAGCCTACCCATCGCACCACGTATAGAATCCCCACATCGCACCACGTATTGAATCCCTAAACACTCAAACCCCAAAGCCTTAACACAAGCCCAAGAAGTTGGATATAGAACCCTTACGCATCCTTGCAAGTTCCCGTAGAAGGAAGCCTTATAGAGCCCGAAAAGAAACCGTTATAGTATACGGAGTAGAACCCTTGTAGATCCGGGTAGGCTTTTTGAACCCCCATACAGAAACCGCTACTCGTACTAACCCTAAACCCCTAAACCCCTAAACTCCTAAACCCTAAGCTCCGAAACCCCT